CGTATGAGTGGCATAGACATAATCTGAAAAGCACGCTAATGCTACAGAGCCAAAAAACGATAGCTTAATGTCACCATCATTTACTCCATTCAGATATTGTTGGGGGTTGGACTAGATGACTTCTGCATCCCTTCCAACCCAAAACATTCTATGGTTCTATGACTGTACCCTGTTCCTGCAAACAGCTTTCCATGTGGTGCAGGGGAAAGGCAGGGATACTGTCTCCCCAGCTTACACTGTCCTTTGGGATTGCTCCAGGGTGCGTGATAGAGATGCAAGAAGTAATTAGGAGCACATTACCCAACACAGCGGCAACTCTGACAATACTACCAAGTACAGGGTGAAGCGTTTTAAAAGTATTGGCATGTTAAACTTGGTTATTACGGAGAAGGGAAAGCAATACTGGCACCAACACAGTGCTGTCTGTGGGGCACACTCAATTGAACAGGCAGCAGAGCATCCTCCTGAGTGCTACGCCATGATGCTCATTGAATCCGCCATGCATTGAGGAGCACCTGGACCTCACTCCTTGTGTCAACACCATGCCCATACGACTCTGCAAGCAGAGGGGTCCATGGTGCATGCAGCATTTGCATCCCGGGGCTGTACAACCAGAATAGGCTTTTGTTGTCTTGTGGGATCCCATTGTTCTGTTCCCCAAAATTCATCACCCACCGAGTCTGGTTAGCTGTCATTGTTTGCTTTGGTATTACAGAGAACAAAGGTGAATTTTATTCTCACAAGAACAGAAATGACAGTGCAGCAATTAGAAAAGAAGAAAGAAATTAGAGCTGCTTACTTTTCAAGCATGTTGTGCAAAAAGATCTCTTTTGTACATGATTCCATCAAAGGAGACACACGTACACCCTATCGTAATAGAAAAATGTGAATGCAATTCATTTTGGATAAAGACAGTGATCAGTGCATCTGCTTTCTAACTTTGTGCCTTTCCCTTTCCTTTTTGACAAAATTCCTGAGAAATTTGAAGACCATTAAATAAAATCTCCCACTAGAAAATATTAGTTACATATATGCATCTATTTCCACCTTATTTGAAAGGTTTAGAGAATCGTGTGTGGGTCAGAGCATACAGCAGGATACACGTTTACAAGCAGCATTTGTCATAATGACGTGGCAATGAAAGCATAGAGACCAAGAGAAAGTATTGCATTCTTATTGTACCTTACTAATTGCTATTGTTGTAAAAATAACTTTCCATTTCAGTGTGATGGCTGCGCTACAGCAGCTACCTTTAGCAGTAAGTTTTATCGTAGCTGCTAAGTGCATTAGAAAAGCCAGGTACCTAAATGGTCTTTAGTCTATCGCAAAGGTGTGTTGGTAAAGCAGGGTAGGGAATGGATTTGGGGGTTCTCCTTGAGATAATGGCCTCAAGTTGCTCCAGGGGAGGTTTAGATTGGACATTAGGAAAATTTTTTTCACCTGAAGAGTCATTAAGCATTGGAACAGGCTGCCCAGGGAAGTGATCAAATCCCCATCCCTGGAGGTATTTAAAAGACAGGTAGATGTGGTGCTTAGGGACATGATTTAGTGGTGGGATGGCAGCGTTAGGTTAACAGTTGGACTTGATGATCTTAAAGGTCTTTTCCAACCTAAACAATTCTATGATTCTATAAAACCCTTTGTCTTTTGACTGGGAACTCCTTTATCCAGAGCTGTGGCTCTTCCACCACAGCTAGTAGATCACAGCATGAAATTTTTGGAGAATACCAACAAGCAATCTTCGAGGCTGGATCTACGCTTGTAAATAAAAGAGGTTGTTCTCTGGCCAGGTGGGTACGTGGCAGAGCATGGCCCACAGCCATGTGGCTAAATTCTCTGTATCCCACAAGCATAATGATCTTGGGCCTAATGTCTTTTAGGAATTGTCTCTGCCCTGTGCTATCCCCAAAGACAAGGAGGTTAATCACCTGTTTAGCCTCTTCTGCTCTTCAGCAGGCTGGTGGCATATTTTCAGAAGGGCTTAGAAGCAGACTGCCATGCCCTGGGGTGTCATAACCCTTAATTTAGTGGAGAGCAGAGTGCCATGCCCTGGAGTATCATAACCCTTAATTAACAGAGGTGGTTCCAGTGCCTGGCAGCCCTGCAAAGCAAGTAGCCTGATCCACATGTTGCCATTTCAGTGGAAAAGCCAAAGCACTTGAAGTGCCCACTTAGACTTACCGAGTATGTGGTGTGCATATAGTTCTACTTGATTTAGGAGCCTAGGAGCTATTTTCCAGTATTCTTTCAGAGTTTAGGCATTTAAAAGATCTGATTCATGATATTACAGTGATTGAAAACATTTCAGACCTCCTGGTCCCAGATACTTCTACCCTTGTGTGAGAATCAGCAGAATAGAGGGTGTACCAGCATGTCAGCCCTTGTGAGTCACAACTTGTCAAATTAGTAGGAACAGGCATGGTTTTCTGCTTCCATTGATATGTCAGGCTGAAAACTGCTGCTGTGGCTTTGGACTTTGAGTTATTATCCCTGATAGATTTAGCTCAAGGTAACCACATGTACTATTTTGCCAAAAGAAAAAACCCACCAGCTTTATCATGTTTTATATCTCCGATTATCTTGTTTGCATGAGTACATCAACGCAAGAAAGGTTTGCAGGACCTGTTTTTGTTGGGATTGTAAGCACCTGGTACTTACAAACATACTGCAGAGATGGGGCATGGTTCTGTACACATCTGATGAAGCGTTTATGTATTGGCCTATTGATAAAGTGGTACAAACAAATAAATTTTATCTGGCATGAAGATGCCTCATATGAAGTTATTACCTTTAAATGTTTTGAATAAGCCTGAACTGGCAGAACAAAGTTCTATAGGATCAGCACCACATGTCATGTGGTGACAGCTATTTGAGGACCAATTCTAGGAGCCCTGGTGATGGATACAGTATTTCGACAAAATTCCTGAGAAATTTGAAGACCATTAAATAAAATCTCCCACTAGAAAATATTAGTTACATATATGCATCTATTTCCACCTTATTTGAAAGGTTTAGAGAATCGTGTGTGGGTCAGAGCATACAGCAGGATACACGTTTACAAGCAGCATTTGTCATAATGACGTGGCAATGAAAGCATAGAGACCAAGAGAAAGTATTGCATTCTTATTGTACCTTACTAATTGCTATTGTTGTAAAAATAACTTTCCATTTCAGTGTGATGGCTGCGCTACAGCAGCTACCTTTAGCAGTAAGTTTTATCGTAGCTGCTAAGTGCATTAGAAAAGCCAGGTACCTAAATGGTCTTTAGTCTATCGCAAAGGTGTGTTGGTAAAGCAGGGTAGGGAATGGATTTGGGGGTTCTCCTTGAGATAATGGCCTCAAGTTGCTCCAGGGGAGGTTTAGATTGGACATTAGGAAAATTTTTTTCACCTGAAGAGTCATTAAGCATTGGAACAGGCTGCCCAGGGAAGTGATCAAATCCCCATCCCTGGAGGTATTTAAAAGACAGGTAGATGTGGTGCTTAGGGACATGATTTAGTGGTGGGATGGCAGTGTTAGGTTAACAGTTGGACTTGATGATCTTAAAGGTCTTTTCCAACCTAAACAATTCTATGATTCTATAACACCCTTTGTCTTTTGACTGGGAACTCCTTTATCCAGAGCTGTGGCTCTTCCACCACAGCTAGTAGATCACAGCATGAAATTTTTGGAGAATACCAACAAGCAATCTTCCAGGCTGGATCTACGCTTGTAAATAAAAGAGGTTGTTCTCTGGCCAGGTGGGTACGTGGCAGAGCATGGCCCACAGCCATGTGGCTAAATTCTCTGTATCCCACAAGCATAATGATCTTGGGCCTAATGTCTTTTAGGAATTGTCTCTGCCCTGTGCTATCCCCAAAGACAAGGAGGTTAATCACCTGTTTAGCCTCTTCTGCTCTTCAGCAGGGTGGTGGAATTTTCAGAAGGGCTTAGAAGCAGACTGCCATGCCCTGGGGTGTCATAACCCTTAATTTAGTGGAGAGCAGAGTGCCATGCCCTGGAGTATCATAACCCTTAATTAACAGAGGTGGTGCCAGTGCCTGGCAGCCCTGCAAAGCAAGTAGCCTGATCCACATGTTGCCATTTCAGTGGAAAAGCCAAAGCACTTGAAGTGCCCACTTAGACCTACCGAGTATGTGGTGTGCATATAGTTCTACTTGATTTAGGAGCCTAGGAGCTATTTTCCAGTATTCTTTCAGAGTTTAGGCATTTAAAAGATCTGATTCATGATATTACAGTGATTGAAAACATTTCAGACCTCCTGGTCCCAGATACTTCTACCCTTGTGTGAGAATCAGCAGAATAGAGGGTGTACCAGCATGTCAGCCCTTGTGAGTCACAACTTGTCAAATTAGTAGGAACAGGCATGGTTTTCTGCTTCCATTGATATGTCAGGCTGAAAACTGCTGCTGTGGCTTTGGACTTTGAGTTATTATCCCTGATAGATTTAGCTCAAGGTAACCACATGTACTATTTTGCCAAAAGAAAAAACCCACCAGCTTTATCATGTTTTATATCTCCGATTATCTTGTTTGCATGAGTACATCAACGCAAGAAAGGTTTGCAGGACCTGTTTTTGTTGGGATTGTAAGCACCTGGTACTTACAAACATACTGCAGAGATGGGGCATGGTTCTGTACACATCTGATGAAGCGTTTATGTATTGGCCTATTGATAAAGTGGTACAAACAAATAAATTTTATCTGGCATGAAGATGCCTCATATGAAGTTATTACCTTTAAATGTTTTGAATAAGCCTGAACTGGCAGAACAAAGTTCTATAGGATCAGCACCACATGTCATGTGGTGACAGCTATTTGAGGACCAATTCTAGGAGCCCTGGTGATGGATACAGTATTTCAGCAAAGCTTAGCATGAACTTCACAGTTTAGATGATATGAAGAAAGATCAAGCAAGAACCTGGCCCAAACTGCTGTCATTCAGAGAGACTAATGCAAAATTTTTTCCCACGTATCTGTTGTGTCTGTCTGTTTTCCTAGTCGACCAATAAACACCATCACCACGGGTTTGATGCAGACCGAGATGCCAAGAAAATACATAGCGCCTGCAAAGGAGCGGGTAAGAAAGCTCTTGGTTCTTTTACAAAGGGCAATTCAAGATTATAAAGAGCATGTTCATAAACTTAGTGCAAAACAACTGTTTCAACCAATTTTAGGTAATCTTTATGCTTTTTGTCACTTACTGACTCAAAGAACATGCACACCCATGAAGTTTTATATGATTAAAATAAATGGGAAGGGAAGCTAGTTTGTTCCTCAAAGACTGGTAAGATCTACTTTGATAATTGATTGGCTCCAGGGGATTGGGATAAATGTGATATTTGCTCCTTGCGATAGGAACATCAAGCTGTCAGGGCTGATATGACAGTCATGGGGTCCAGCTAGTCAGGTCAGATTAAGGTCATGGTTATAAGTCCTTTCCCAGGCCTTCAAGGACCAATCAAAAACATCACCACCTCCATGTCCTCATCAAAGCCCACTGCAGCTCCATCAGCTGAAAGGAATATACAATGGTCCTTAATCTGCATCAGTGATTTTTAACCAAAAATACTGGCTCCTACCATCTTCTAAGATAGTTTAAAATAAGCTGGCTGGCTGTGCACTGATGCGAATGAGGAATGCACAGTGTTCATGGGATCCTTGGGTCCATGGAGGTGACAAAGTCTGCCAGAGGAAGAACTACCAAGAAGCACTGAGATCAGTAAGTTACCAATCCACTCCAGGCATTTGCACAGTGTTTACTGTATTTAAGCATTTCTTCCTGGGGTAGCACTGACATTCAGGATCAACCTGAATTTTAGGAATTGTTCTTTTCCTATCAACTGAGTCCCCTCAAGACCCCCAGAGTACTCTCCTACTGAGAGTTTAAGCCCACATTGTCTGATAGCAGTACTTTTCCTTCTAAAATTGGACCATGCCCTCTGTCCTGGTTCTAAGCAGGTTCTAAGCAGGAAGAACTGGACAAGATGCCCTAAACTTGTCCTATATGTATCCAGTGATGATATGCAGGGATGAAAACGCATCAGCTGCTGCTGAATGCCAATATCATTTGTATTTTTGTAATTTGTGCTGGTAGGTCCTGAGAAACCCTTGCTGGTCTGTACTCCCAAGAGCCTGCGATGAGGCATAGCACAAAGCCCAATAGGTGGACGCAACAGATGGAAGACCACAAGGAGAGCATGGGGCAGTGTCCACCAGCGTGACATGTATGCATGCATGCATCAGCAGACCTGGCATACAGCTTGATGCCTTTGATCAGCCCTCTAAACCCTTTATATGCTCTGGGCATTTTGGCAGTATCCATCACTTGCAGGGTCATAGGTCCTGCCTGAAACACATTCTCCATTTCAAAACCTGTCTTGAAGAAATAAGGCCTGAGACAAGCCCTGAGATGGAAGTGCACCGGGGCACAAGCAATAGCTACGTTATTGTGTCTTTCGGGCACCCAAGTGACATTGCTGCAATCCTGTCCCATTAGCCACAAACATAACAAATGCCTTCCAGCAGCTTCGTTTAGTGCAAACAGCTGTTCATATGGCTGAAGGCAAGAAAAGTACAAGAAGAAGGTCATTGCCTTTAGTAAGTGGAAGCAAAACAGCATCAGCAGAGACTCAGACCATGAAGGCTGGTTCCTGCTCCTCTTCCTGGCTCCGTTTAGTGCAAAGCACAACCCATTTTGTACAGGCTGCACGTTCAGGCTGTGGGTTAACGACGCTGATTTAAACACATCCTCACCTACCCTGGCCTCTTGCCCCACACCATTCGTGCACTTAAGGAACTGGATCTGATGGCTGATCCCTCGGGACTACTCAAACAAGCATTGCCACCAAAAATGTGTATGTCAACCTATGGGCACTGGCACAGCCCTGATTTTAGGAGCAGTGTCTGACCTCCTCAGACAGAAGACTCAATTTCCCTGATAAAATATGAGCAGCACAAGATGGTGAACTTTTCTTTTATGGTCTGAACATTGTAGCTGACCACAGTTAAATATATCCTCAAAAGAATCTTAGATGCTACAAATCCTAAAGTTGGTGCCAGTGGGGATATATGTATAGCAATTTTTTTTCTTTAGAGATCATGTTTTCTTCCCTCTGCATTAGATTCCTGATTAAAGAATTCCTATGCACAACTTCTTTTTCAGGAACCGATGAAAAGAAAATTATTGAAGTCTTCTCGAGTCGAACATCGGAGCAGAGACAACAAATAAAACAGAAGTACAAGGCTCTGTATAACAAGGTATTTTGAAATAAATGGGCTCTCTGTTTCAAACGGGATACCTGCTGGAAATATAGCCTTCAGGCCTCTGCTTTAGAAAATATCAAGGGCACAGTGGATTTAAGGAGGACACCAGTTACTTTCTGATGCAGCAATTTATTTTATCTCCTAAAATACCAATTATATTTCTAATCTTAGGCCTCAGAGTCTTCTTGAAATCAGCCTTAAACAGATCAGAGCATTTTAACCAAAGTTGGGAGAGATGGAAAATAATTCAGAACTGAAATAAAACACCTTCATCACATTCAGGAAAAGGAATTAATGTAAAAGGGCAATTTTAAGTCAGAATCCCTCTCAGACCAGACGCAAATTCAGAGGAACTATTTGATCTTACGTCATTATATTTTTGTTGAGTTTAATAGATGCAGTATTGATTTCTTCCTGTGGTGAAGTAGAATACACGTTGTAAAACTGAAGAGTCTCATTGGGCGCTTAATTCCTGGAGGAGGAAACGTAGACTGCCTTAATGATTTTGCGTGTAAGAAAAATAAAGCTTCCAATATATTATTTAGTTAAACAGCTGGATTCTGCAGAGCTTACTATTAAATTGGTATTTTCTTAAGGTCTGCTTGCTCATTAGCCATTAATCAATGTTAATAAGACAGGCAGCACTGAATCTGAAAGCCTTCTATACGTAAGACTTTGAGCAAGCATGATAAAGATGTTGGTTATGTGAAAAGTATAGATTTAGTCCTATAATGAGGATTAATAAAAATAGGCATTAGAAATGAGCAAATGCCATGAGACATGCCGGTTATATCAGCAGGTAGCAACCCCTGTCACTTGCCTGAATCTCTGGGGCAGGAGCCGCAGGTTGTACCATTCCTCTCTCCTGCTCCTCAAGGAAGCGAGATCTGTGGTGCGCGCATTGAAACTGCTCCAACACCGACATCAAGCGTTGACTTCCATAGATTAAGTCTTGATTTGCCAATGTGCAAGAGGATACCTGAGAACAATAGATTTAGAGCTGGGCTTCTCTTTTGTTGTTCTGAACTTGTCAAGTGTTTCCTGTACTACAGGAAATGTTAACTGCAGATAGGGCTTCAAATAAATCATCAGTGGGCATCCTTCTCAGCCTACTAGCTCGTTCTTCTCTGCAGCCTTACTAAATTTTTAATTAAGTAGATCATATCTAGGCTGATTTTTTTTTTTTTTCCTGGTGGAAAAAATGCTGATTGCTTGGCCCCAAAGCACTTTGTAGAACTTCTTTGTTTTTTCCATTAAGTCGATTTTAACCAAAACGGGAAGTTTGCTAAGTTTGCTCCCTTCTGTTGCAGCTCTTATGAAGCAGGAAGTTTCTGTGTTGTATTTCAGAGTAAAGTCGCCTGTTAAGCTTTTAAAAACACTGGTTTGCATTTAATTAAACAAGTGAGAGTCAAAACTGGACTGATATCAACTGGTATTTGAAGATGGGACAATCATTGCATTCAATCTGAAGCAAAAATTTGTAGGGAATTTATTTGGAGAAAAAAAAAGGTCCATGTATTTAAGGGCTTTTTAATGTTTTTGTCCATATTGGGTACAGAATAAGCTTTGAAATAATGAATTTTTCTGAAACAAAGAAATCCTCTAATCCCACCTCAGCTTTTGCGCTAACCCTTCTGACTGTCCCCGCAGGATTTGGAAGAGGACCTGAAGGGAGACCTGAGTGGGAATTTTGAAAAGGTTGTGTTGGCTCTGCTGGACCTACCCTGCGAGTACGAGGCCCGAGAGCTTCGTAAGGCGATGAAGGGTGCTGGGACGGATGAGTCGCTGCTGATTGAGATTCTCTGCACACGAAACAACAAGGTTAGGACACCATGCGTGACCTTCCTTAGGTAGCAGGGCAAAGAGCTTGCCAAGAGCATCATTACAGAAGGAAGAGGAGGGTGAAGACCCATTTCTGTGGCTGAACTGCCTGTTGTCAGTGGTTGCAGCCATAAGGTTGCCATACTGGGGCTGAAACTCTTGCAGGAGTTAAGAGCAATATAATTCAAATTCCTTCCTTGGTTTGACTCGTATCTCCCATGGATGGCACAGAGGTAACACTGATGATAGAGAAATCCCCAGGACCCTGTTAAATGCAGCTTTGGCATTGCTCTGACCACTCAGAAGTGGCTCCCACCAGGTACGGGAACGCGATTCTCTTCAGAAAGCCCTTTAGTTTACACCTAAAAGCAAGTGAAGCCAGAGGGATGCATGCACGAGTCAGTCATCCCTCAAAATGCTGGCCTGAACCAGGCTGGGTTTGAGCTGCGTCTCTGTGCTCCGGTGAGTCCCAGCATAGGCAGGGAATGGGAATTTGG